TCTATTTATAGAGCTTCTTAATCCAAAATATTCAAGGCTCTTGAAAATGTAAATACACCCTGCCAGATCCGCTTGCTTTATACTTAATTTATATTCAGCTTACGCGCTTATATTACTATATGTAAGATCACAATGAGAGCATGTCGCTTGGCCTGCATCGCCCGGCACATGTCTTTCGGTAGTTTCTACAGGCGGGTCGCCATCTCCTTGCGCTCCAATTGAATATTATTATTATTTTTGGGCTTTATGTACACACACACATATACATACATATGTATTCTCTTTAATGCTCGGATTTGAGCGTGTCGTTTATTTTTACTGCATTCTCAAGACTTAATTATGCGCAAGTGAATTTTGTTTTTATTTTTTGGCGTTTTATTTCTTGAATTTTTATTTTTCACTTTTACAGCACTTGAATGCACTTTAAATGGTTTTTATGCATTTCACATTGGATTTCGGTTTTGACATACTAAACGAACTGGGCCCCACTGCCTATTTAATGCTGACCAAAATATTTACAAATTCTTTTTGAATATACATACATATATATATTTTTTATTGTTATTATTTTTGCTCTGAGATTTTTTGGTTTTAATACAGCATTTTGGCACTACACTTGGCTACTTACAATTGATTTTTAGCACAGTTGTAGTCATTTTGTTGTGTTTTGTTTTCTTTTCCCTTTATGGTTTTACTGTTGTTGTTGGCTTTGGTAATTCTGTTTTTTTTTTTTTATTGTTTTCTGGTCTTTTTCTGTTTTGCCTAATGTGACGCAGGACGTGCTCGGGGTTTGTTTGAATCTGTGACGACTTTGGATTGCGTTTTAATTGACCTTGTTGTATTGCACTTAATTGAAGCGCAACTATACAATAAGAGAAAATACAATAGTAATATTTAATTACCAAATTAATTTTTCCCGACAACGCGAACGGCGGACCGAAGCGCGAGCGCACGAACTGACAACAAAACGGCAACTGCGGAGAACGCGCGAAATTTGCGATATGCTCAAGAGCCGACGACAGACTAGAAAAACTTTGAATGTGTGTTAGCGAGAGTGCGAGAGAGAGCGCAAGAGATGTGAAGAGAGACCGAACGAGCGCGCTCACAGGCATTTACTTTAGTGGAGAGTAAAAACGCATGCGTTGCCCCAAATAGAATTTGACGACATGTGCTAAGAGGGCGGCTGTCGATGGTCGGAGAGCGAGAGAGCGCGTGAGAGATTGCGGTAATTGCATAAATGCCGGCATGCGGCCGGCTTCTTTATAATGCACTCATGCACTCAGTGGAACTCATATATTCAAAAAATATGCTGAGCGGACGAATAGTTGGGAGAGAGCAAATGCTGGAGAGCCCTTAGCATTTTATTTATAGCTTTGCATAGGCTACCCTCGATAGCAGGACCAGGTGTGCATGACAATGTCACCAGAGAGCCAGGGAGCGCAAAAGCAAAAATGAGAGAGCGATAGTGAGAGAGATATGACGAGTATGAAAAGGGGAGGGCGCTAGGCAAATCAGCTGTTGCGAAGGTTTTGCTTTTGGGGGTAAGTTGACGCCGTAATTTGTCCCTCAAGACTCTTTAACCTTACTTAAACAGTCTTCCGGCTTTTAAACTGATGTTGCTTGTTAAATAAATCACGGTATTGTATATCAAAAATCATTTGTATCGCTTATTATATATTTGGAACGATGTGTATCGCTGATAAAAATAAACATTCACAAAATTAAATTCAGTAAAAGTCTTAAAAGAAAGAGAATTTGATTTTAAGCAACTTTTTGTTCTAAATTCCTATCAATATGTCATTAAAAGTTAAGACTAAACATACCTAATACATGGCCAATTTCCTGTGCTATTGTCACTTGATTTAAAAATAAGACCAAGCTACGTGTGTTCTGATAAGAAACAAGTTAGGAAATTGGTTAAGTATTTCGCTATAGATATGAGCATGAGCATTTCAAAGCCTTCATATAGCGGCTAGTCAAGTTCAGAACCTGCGTGCTATAGCGAACAGCTTTTGTTTGTGGGTGCTAAATGATCAAAACGAAATATCAACAAAGCGAATGAATGATGAAATTTCGAAATAAATTAAAGTCGACGGTCATTATTTATTACTTAGTGTTCAGTTAATTGTATAATATGGGAAATTGTAAATTATTCCGCTATTGATATTAACAAGAAAATTATTATGAGTGAGAGAGGGCTAGCCAAGTTTACAACCTGTGCCATACTCTAATTCAATGAAGTTATTAAATGCGGGATGAAATTTCGAATTACTTCAAGTCGTTAAATTTGACGTTATTCATTAGGTATTCAGTATACCGCTAATTTTATAAAGCACTTGCTTTGCTTATTATACGAAATCTCTATTTGTTAAGCTATTTTACACATGCAGCATGAATCATATATAGACATTCAAATTATTTCGTTGGGTTGACAATCTAGTTTTTGTTTACTCATTCACGATAATGAAGAGAGTATATTGGTTTTGTGCAATGTCAGGCTTGCCGTGCGTTGATGCTAGAAACAACGACTTAATTACTGATGAAATCCTCTATTAATTTAAATTAAAATAATATATGTATTTATTTATATGGTAGCGTTTGGACATTGAATAAGTATTTTATAGTCGGTAAAACTCGTCGGCAGTTTTCGTACTTGTTTCATATTGTTTATTTTATCAAGTAGATGCATAGCTATATACATACTATATGAATCGATGTATATGTATTTGCATTATTCTCTTTGAGTGGTACGCGAACTAGGTGAAATCAAAAGTCACGCTGCATGCAAAATAGATTGCGTGTGAATTGATTTGAAATAGCTAAAATAAACACAAGTGTTTTATTTGTTTTCTCTTTAATGTTTAGTCAATAAATCAAAATTTATAAAATGTACACATTTTTTTTTTTTCGAATAGTAGAAAATTCGCTTAAAATTATTGTTCAGCAGTTTCGATAAAACATTCATTTAGTAATTTATTTGCAGAGCAAAACTTTGTTTAAAGAACAAATAATAATTTAAATTATTTACTTTAAATATTTTTTAAAAAGACAATTACATTTTTTAAGTTTCATTTTAATTGCATTTAAACCTAGTTTATAAAACTATATTTAACTTAGAACTAATATAGCACTGCCTTTCATCTATTTGTACAAATATTTATATAAATAATATATATATGTGGTATATTTATATATGTATATATAATTCTACGTATTTCTCATGTCATTTTCTAGCCTAAATGCTTGAGTCTTACACTAAATATTGGCTTACAAAATTATATAGTTTTTATTATTATTAATATTTTGTTTTTTGTTTTTTTTTTTAAGTTCGTTTATATAGTATATTCTAGTTGATTTGTTTTGGTTACACATGGGTTCAGACTGTGTTACATTTGATGCATGCTTTATGATGATTCATGTCTTATGGGCCAGCTCACGCACATACGCATACATACATATATATCACTCGATTATCTCAATTATCACAAGATTCTTAGAGTACAAACTGCGAACGTCTCACGTCGCACACTTTTCTATAGGAATGAGCAGCATAATATGAGCACCAGCACCGTTATGGGAAATAGTGCATAGATCTCGCTACGCGGATGACAGGTTGAGATGAGATTTGTAATATCATCGTCCTCATGCTCGATGCCATCCCGTGTGGGCACCTCGACGACGACTATTTCGTCGGATAGGAAACCAATGTTGAAACTGCAATCGGTGCTGTTCAGGCAGCCACGCGATTCACTTAGATTCGAGTATTGAAATGTTGGCTTATAGATATCGAAAATGGCGTGTATATCGTTGCGCACCAGATCGTTGTCACTGTAAAATATATAATAATAGTAACCATCCTCGGTGATATTATGCTTGACCGTATCGTGTTTGCCCTTTTCGAGAAAATGCGCATTCATGCACGCCGGCTTCGGGGGAAAGCCCTCGGCCAGCAAGATGGCACCATTAAAGCATTCAAAGAGTCCAGTCTCAAAGCTCGATATGGAATTGGATTCATCAGTCTCCGTAAAGTTCACAGCATTGCCGCCGTGACTGTATTTCCGGTCATAGACATTTTCACGCTTCTGTCGCTCCTTGCGCTTGTAGAGCTGCTCGTACAGCTGCCGTTTGCCCCGCTCGTGGGCTGTCTGACGTCTCGTGCGATAGCTTGACGCATTGCTGCTCTCGTTGTGGACAGTCGGATCAAGTGATTCCATTGACTTGGGCAACGGATGAGTTGTGCCCTTCTTGAGTTTCTTTTGCAGTCGCTTTGCAGGCGTTGGCACCGGCGTCGGCTTTAGGCTGACATTTGCTGGCAGACGATCGTCGCTCAGATCTTCGCCTCCGTGATTCTCATGCTCGAGCAATCCGTCGACTGGCAGCTTCTCCTCGGTGATTTCCACCACATCCTCGAAGAATACTTTGACCTGTTCATGGCCCTGGGCATAGTTGGCGCCAAGTTTGTTCTTATTGTGATCGGTGAGGCCGCAGAGTTTCAGCTCTCGCTTGCCCTTGATCACCAGCAAACGCGATCCATTGTAGCGCGAGCAGAACTTGAGCGAAACGCGAGCACCCTTCAGCAGAAAGAAACCCCAATACTCCAGGGTATCGTCCGGCAGTGTCATTGACTTCTTCAGCCTGATGTGCTTGCGATTCGTGGATATTTCGGGCTTATTGCGCAGCTGAAAAGCATTGAAATGGCTATTCATGCGCAGCGTATGCTTCGAGCAGAAGATCGATGAAATGCCATCCCTAATCTCAATGATGTCCGATTCGGCGACCGGGTAGATGACATCTGCGAAGATCGTCTTGCGCATATAGAGTGGCATTATGATCAGTATTGCCGGCAGTATTACAATCATAATACAAAAGACGAGCACACGCTTGACGCCGTGCATCTTGCGGGTCTCTGGAATGAAATCAAACAGATAAAAGATAAGTTTCAGATAAGCAGACAGTTGCGAGAACTATGACGAGTTTCAGATGTTTGCTTAAAAAAAGCCATTTTATGATTTTTATAAAAGTCTGCATCAAGTTTTATAAACTGCAAATGTTTTTCATACGATGCTGTATAAGTAAACTAATAAAATAAGTATATACTAAATATTGCTGACTAACGACTTAATAATTTATATATATTTTAATTTATATTTTCATTTTAATTTGTTTTTATTTTGTAATGTCTTAATATTATTAATCTAGTGAATATATGATACACCAGCCTACAAAAAATAATAGATAGATAAAATAAAATAGTAATACAAAGCTAATAATTAAGCTATATACAAATGTAGATATTAAGAAATTTATTTTATTTTAATGTAATTTAATAGAAGTTTTTCGTTTAATGGTAAGCAATGCATTACATAATTTTTTAAATAATATTTTTTATGAATTTATCTTGAAGTATGGTATAAATTTCAATGTATTACTAATAAAATTTTATTAGTTATTTATTTATATACTATTTAACTTATACACGTATGCTTTAAAAATTTATGTAAAAATTACTTGAATATAATATTTCTAATTGATCGTATTTTTGATGATAAAATTTCACTTGATACTACCTTCAAAATGATATTCCGTAACTTGTTGCATTTTGATATTTTATATTTTGTCTGCTCTTAAAATGTCTCTTAACAATTTCAAAGTATTTTTCCTAAGCAGAGCGCATTGCTTCTTGCCTCTAGACTGGCCTTTTGAGTACTGCCTTGATAATGTGATTATCAAATTTGACTGCCCGACTGCCCGAGACGGCAGATTTACATTACATTTATCGCACGAGGCGTTTTAGTAGTTGTATTAGTTTAACACGGCTCAGAGGCGCGCGTGTGTTGCCGGCAAATATGAAGCTGTGTGTGTGTGTGTGCGCGTCTATCAACAAACCACAACAATTGCAAAATAATGTACAAATATATGCTTAAGCTATTTACAAGAGCCATTCGGAACCACCGAGCGTTAAGTGGCGGACTCTATTTGGTTAGCGCTATTCATCAACCCATTGCTCCGCCGACTAGATCAAATTTGTCAAATTTATTTAGTAGAGTTTTTTGTTTAATTATATCTCTATTATTGTTTTATTTAAGTTTTTTTGACAGCTGATAAGGGAAAAGTTCAACTGAAAATCTATTGTAAATTAATGTGAGAGATTTAGAAGAGGCGTCAACTATTAATAATAACAACAATTTGATTTTATAAATATTTTGATTAAAGTTAAACATTAAAATCATGTTTTAATTATTATTATTTTTTTTTTTTATTGCGTTAAAATATATCCTGTTGAAGTTGCTATATACGTATATATGTATATATATTTTTTTTATATTTTAAAATAACGTTTTCTCCTGCATACTTTGGGGCGATAACCGTTAATAAACTTCGTCCAGCTTAAGCAAGCTGTCAAGCTTTGGTTAAATCATAAAATACTTGTTAATGGAAAGTGTAAAGAAAAAAGCTAAAAAATACTTTTAAGTTCCATATAACTCTAAATTAAGTTCCCACACTTTACAGAAATGACAATGACAATAAAAAATAAATATAAATATCTTGAAGATATAACTTTATTTTTTTTAATATATATACAAAATTATGCAAATAAAAACATATATGTATATAAATCTTTATAAAATGTGTTCTGTCTGGTTATTATATTTGTAGCAGTAACACTAAGCCATGAGATCTGATATGAGTTATGTATTTAATTGGCTAATCATGAGTCTCAAGCTCACAATTATTCATCGATAGCAGCTATTTTCCCATGTAGACATTTTATATATTCATAAATTGTTGTTATTTCTGGTCTTATCAATCGATGTAGCACTGGTGTTTACTTGTCATAAAACGCATACGTTATCAATTTCATTTCGAAATATATATGGTGCTTGAGAGACTCGGAAAATATGGAAGCTTTTCATATCGCTCATCATCATCGTCACGTTTTCGTCGCATGTTTTTTTTTTTTTATTATCTGCAGAAAAACATTCGCGCTTATTTATAGGTGCTAATATAAGCTAGTAACAGGTGCTAGACGAGTGAATATTTTTATCTGAGAAACAGACAGATGGGATACAAACAATAAAAAGACTTCAGCTGTTTAAATAGTAAAAGTTTTCATGGGATTGAAGTGAATAGCTAGCTTGATCTGAATAGCTTTCTATACAAGTATATTAATCAATGTTCTATATAGATTAAAAGCTTCTTAATTCGAAATTGATTAGAACTCTTATAATAATATAGCCTTGCCTAATTGCTAATAAATTGGCTGCTATCAAATATAATAAACGACTTGACTCGGTGACAACTAGTTAATATTTAAAGCTTAGACTGCTGATAGACTTTTTGTCCGACAATTTATTTGAAATAGTTGATAACACTTGGGTTGCCGCAATTTATATTTAAGTGAACCCCATTTGATAAGAAGTAAACAGAGAGGGCGTTCAAGAGAGAGAGAGAGAGAGAGAGAGAGACAGAAGTGTTGTATTAAACGGATAAGACTTGGTAGAAAATGTGATGTATAATATATAGTATTAGGGCTCTGGGCTTGGGCAAAAGAGCTGAGTCCAGACTGGGCACTAGGTATCCTTCAGTCGGATATTGCCTACGAAGTTATCGAGTTAAGTTAGTGTGCCAGTATAAGGTTAAAGGTTCAAGGTATGCGCTAGTCGGATACTCCTCTTTAGAGTACTTTTTTTTGTTGCTCTTCTGCAATTAAGCAAGCTGAGTGATTTCCGATAAAGACTAACATAAACTAACATACATATATACAAGGCGGGCTTATCTTAACCTAACTGTATTTTTCTTTACAAAACCTGAATGATTTCATCGAACATTACGTAATCACCCTAGGTAGCAATTGAAAATTGTAAACAGTGTACTTTTTTTTTTTGTTACCATGTTTGTCAAGCGCTTCCACCATTAACCTATCTAAGGTCACAGGTCGAACATTTCCCTGGCAACTAAGCGAAAAGTGTCGCAACTGCATATCCAAGTTGGTAAATATTTAATTTTTCCAGTCGGTTAACGATTTGGTTAAATTTCGACAAGTTGTCATTGAAACGAATCGAGTGGGTTTCTTGTTGTTGGTTGATATAGGCATTAAACTTGTTTTGCAGAAAACCAAAGAGCAGAGTTAGGATCTTGCTGTTTACAGTGAATAGAATGTTATTAGTTATAGACGTCTGTATGCGTTTCAAGATATAGTATATACTAAAGATAATGATTTATGTTGTTGCTATGATATACGAGCAGTCATATATTTTTCTATAATACTATGAATGGTTTTCAAGAAAGTTATTCTATACCCTATTTGGTATTTAAATTCCAAAATAATTATCTTGATATATGTTGACTTTATTTAAATTGTTAAAATACTTAAAAATAACACTTTGAATGAGCCATAAAAGTATTTTTAAAACAACAATTAGATATTGAGAAATCCCTTAATAGAACGATCGTAACTACTCATAAAGTTCCCATAAATTAGCTCTAGATACTCAAAATGATGTATAATTATATTTTATCATAATCTATAATTATCTTATGAGCCTCTAATTATTTTCTTGATACTTAATATTTTAAGCTATGCTTCGATTCTGAAGAAAGTTTTAACTATCCGATCCGATTGAATCTTTTTAATGTCTTGTAATGCAATTATACCTTATATTTAGTTGAATGATATTAATTTTGTATACATAATTATTATTATATTCTATTTCTTTGTTTTAGTTTTCATGTATATACATATTTTATAGTATAACAGTAAATTATTTGTACAATTGTGTGTTTAATATTTTACTAAGTTATATATAATATTTTATTAAATATATAAATATATATAAGTATTTATATAAATTATATGAAGCAGATCACTATGATATTTATTTATTTTTTTTTATAATTCGATTACATTTCTTTGTTATCATGTAAGAATTCTGTCATGAAGAGTTCTTAAAATCATAAGAGTCCTTAGCACTCTTATTACAGACTTATAATATATATGTGTATAGTATATAGTTCTCGTAAACTTGAACTACCTTGACTAATTCTTGCACATTTTGCGTTTCTAGTGCTCGTTCAGTGTTGTTAGCGTGTGCCTCGAATAAAATTTAAATATGTGCTTAAGTACGCGTACTTATGCATATAAATATCTACAGATACTATATACATAGATATGTATGTATGTATATGTAAATATGTAAGTAGTTGTAGTTGTGCTCATGTTTAATTCTCATATTTCTGTTATTTTTTCCTCTTCCTCTTCTTCTTGTTAACTTACATGTTTATTTGTCTCTGTTATTTAGCTTATTTACGTTTTGGCTCGCGTACAACGCGGCGACAGCGACGTCAACAGCGCTGTCAGCGTCGACGCGTTGTCGTAATGTTGATATGTGCAAGCTTCTACTTCTTCTTCTTCTTCTTCCACTTCTTTGTCCTCTGTCTTGCATATGCAGTTTGTTTTGTTTATTCTCCCTGGGTGTTTTTGCTTATCAACACGTGCAGAGTTTTTGTTGTTCTCTTTATTATCAGTCGAGCATTATTATTATTATTACTATTATTATTATTGTTATTATGCGTCTGCTTCTTCTCATTGCTTATGATATTTTGACACACTTTTGTTATCAACAACTGTGTTGTTTCTAATGTTTTTTTTTTTTTGTTTGCGGCACTCTCCCACACTCTCTTCTGGCCGCTCTCGTTGTCGCTCTCTCTCTCTCACTCTATCGCTAGCTTTTCTTTGGCGTCTATTTTTGTTGCTTATTCGTTCTCTTTGTTTATGGCACAAACATTATGTTTCTTCATCTTTTTTCTATTTTATCTATTTTTATTTCATATAAAATTCGTTAGTTTTTATTAAAACAAAATTTACGAAAGATTCGCTAAGCGTCGCGCCGTATTTTCGTTTATTCGCGAGCTCTTTGACTGACGACTGACGACTGACTAACTGGCATCGCGACTCGCGGCCGTTGGAATGGAATATTTTTTTGTTTCTTTCGTCATCGCACAATATGAAAAACAATGGGATTTACCAAGCGTCATGCTGAACACGCTTGCGCTATGGGGTCTCCCTCTACCTCTTTCACTCTCTCGCTCGCTCTTCTGTTCTCTGCGCTCGGAAAATTCAGAGCGCTCAGAGAAAACGCGTTTGTTTTGATGTGAAGTTGGCTGCGCTGCCTCAATTGGTTCGAAACTTGACTTAATTGTACCCTGTACACGAATCATATTGGCATTAAGGGTATATTGAATATTATATTCAAAAATTTAAATTGAATAATTAATTAAAGTGTTACAGCAGTTAAGAAATAAATTAATTTGAACCGTTTTGGGTATATATTACTTTATTTTTAATTTCTTAATGCTGATTGAAATATTTATAAAGCGTCATTTTTGCACCAGGTAATATCTTAATTTTAAGCGCAGCAGCTGCGTAAGAAAATTTTATCTATTTGAGAGACAAGGAGATAACGCGTGAATTTTGCTTGTTTTTACTTAAGATTAAAGTGCTTGTCATAAATATGAATATATGGAAATATATAATATATCTCTATATATGATTCTTTTAGTATACAGCATATATATATATTCATATGTATATTTTTACCTATATATTAATATTTGTTTATTTTTTAATTTGCTAGCTATAGCATAAGTTTTGTTTAAATATAGTAGCCAATTTTAATTGTATTGCAATAAAAAAAATAAAATAAATAAATAAATAAATTAAAAATAATTAAATAAATAATAATAATTTTAACAAATAAATTTAGTTAAATAATCATAATACATATGTAATTACATATATTAATGAAAAGCTAGTTAATGCGAAAAATCTAGTCTTTAAAAAAATCAGTTTAAAATTAAGATAAAAAGAAAATAAACAAATATATTAGAATAATAAATATAAAATAGTAAAAATAATAATACTATAAAATATTTCTTGTATTATTTTTAATTTTTTATATACCATAATATTATGTAAAATCGGTTTACTTAATTATAACAATATTCTTTGAGATTACCTTTAGTTTCTAAAAACTAAAAACACTAATTAATGGTACTGAATTAATGAATTTGTATAATTAAGAATCCGATTATAATATTTGTATGTAGTTATGAATCTGATTTTAATATTTCTAAGCATTTTTCTATGACTCTAAGTTACATATTGGCAAATAACTTTCTTTTAGACATAATTCAAGTCCAAAATTTGGTTAATAATTAAAAATTTGGGATGGAAAATAAATCCTTGACCACAAATACATATCTTGATATTACAAGGCGTATTTTAATAGATAGTCAGACTGATTTAAACTTCAAATTTAACAAACTTCATACAGTTAGGCACGGTTAACCTTTGATATTATTGCAAACTTTTCACAGCACTTACTATGCAAATCGGGCATCGAGTAGTAGAAATCCGTGTGATAATAATGCAGTTGTCCTGCACTGATATTTGTGCTGCGCTTTATAAAGGATTTGTTAGACATATTGAACAAGTATTGAGACTGTTAGGCAAAATATTGAAATTATTCAGCAACGATCCGTCTCGACTGAATTATCGCCGCAAACTAACTCGAAATTGTTCTCTGGATGCGCAGAATGACTTAGCTACTCTATCTGATTGCCCACTGTGTACAATGACGTTCCAATGGGAGTGCAAAAAAAAAAAAAAACAGAAATGGAAAACAAAAATGCGAACTGGGAACTGTAGACTGAAGACAACAACAAGCTGCGGCTGTCTGTTGCCCTGAGACAGTTGACAGATGTAGTGCGCTTTATCCGACCGCACTGTGTAGCTGATAGCTGACGAACTAGAGTAATTGTCATTTATGATTATAGTAAATGGCATAAAATACACATACTGTAAAAGCAAACAACACGCGAATAAACCTATTGATAAGAGGTTAAAGCTGATTAACAGACAGGCTGGGAGGCATGACACATGCACGTGTCTAGCATGCCGCGCCCTTCTCACCAACTGTAGGGTGTCTAGCTGAAGCCATCGGTTTAATTGGAAATTCAATATCACTAAAATTATCCAATGTATGGCATAGAGTCCACGGTCTACTAAATATGCTATGATTTTGCACATACATCTTTAAAAATATTATCATTTTATATTAAAACTTTATGGAGCATGCTTTATGTTTGAAATTATCAAGATTTGATGATGGTTTGCGATAGGCATAGATTTACTCGGATTAGTTTAAATACCAAGTAAGATGTATAAGAATATTAAATATTGATCAATGATTTATTCCAAAGAAATAAATAGTCTTCTTATTTACTTTGATTCATTCATAATAAATAATTAAAATAAGTTTATACAATATTTCAGGGTATCTTCCAGTCTATCATTCACTAAAGCACTCTTACATATTTATTTTTCTCTTCTTCTTCCTCAAGCTCCCCCTATTTAAATTTATATTTTCTTGATTTCATCATTTATAATTTATTACTCAGTGCTTGAATTATAATAATTTATAAAGCACTAAAATTTACAATATTCTCCATGCATTTTCTTGATGGAGCAGTAAATCTTCTTCTATTATGTTTTTTTTTCTGTTTATCTTATCTCTTGGGCGACATAAATGTAAGATATATTATACGACTTAGCCGGAATTATTATCTATTTTAAACGTGCTTCTATTATATATTTCCCTGCTGTGGACTTAAACAAATATTAAATTGATTATTAAATTTGTTTTAGAAATAAGTAAATATTTCTTAAACATTTTTTTTTTATTTCTAATAAGTAAATATTTATTTAATTATATTATTTTATATATATTTTTTTTTGCAATCCTTAGATTTATTATTAAATTGATTAGGTTATAAAAATTTTAAGGGTTGTATTTATACTGATATCGCTTTCTGAGTGTGTTGATTTTGGGCAATGTCCGCTCTTCCCTCTGTCCGTGAATGCAAACAATTTCGTAGCTATTGTACTTTTATAATATACATCAATAAACCGCAGGTGCATTAATTAAGAGAGTACTCGATTTTTTTTTCAGCCTACAAGTATGCAAAAATAAAAATGAAACTTAGAAAGATAAAAATATTAGCAACAAAAAGGGATTTGATTAGTATCTTGATGTCTTTTAATTCTGCCCATTTAGGCTTGCGTTAGCTGTTACAATCGACTACACTAATATATATATTTAAAAAATTTATTTTTGATATTCGTTGAAGCCATCCAAGCAAAGTACTCCGGTAGCCCCTTCATGATCTTATTATCTAATTATTCTGCCCATTTGGATGCGTTCATCACAGGAGTATAGAAAATCACTTCCCTTGGTTATCTTGGATTGAGCTTCCTAGGAGTTCGGTCTCTAGCGGCTAGCCGGTTTCTGTGCCGCTCCAAATTATCATTGCATCGCCTCGAGTGCTGCTTTATTTCATCAAAGAACGTGGCCAGTTTCAGTTGCTTCTTAGTTTCTGATGCTATTAATGATAATTGTATGTTTCCAAAATCGATAGAAGATAGAATGTGTTCCTCGAATCATATCGGATTTCATGTTTAATAGTAAAAAGTAAACTTTAAAAGCAAAATGTCACTTGCTGCTAAATATAATCTATATGTGTAACTTCTTGAAAATAATTCTAATTTTACCAACCGTATATTGTATAGATAGGGGAATTTATCAGTTGTAGGGTATTCTACGCATTGCTAATTAATTATTAAATAATGTTTCTATCCTTACCTTCTGCCATGTTCGTGACAGAACAAAGCTACGACGAGTTGTGTAAACGGCCCGTTGTATTTATTTGCGAATTCGTGGCTTTTTAATTATTTAAAGAACACGTTTTTGGCATCTCTTCAATGTCATCGTCTGTCAAAGTGAACAGCTCTTTACTATGGAATATTTAATTGCATTTATTAATGCGTTTTCAATAGTTGTAAATTATAAATTCGATTATCACAAATATTGATTTTGTAATGATGATGATGGCAATTAGAGACGATTGAGTAGCCGAATCCAGGCTATAAATGTGGGTCAAAAGCAGACTTCCAAAAGTTTATTGTTACAAAAATAAAAATAAAAAAAATATAAAGAAAATAAAAAAAGTAAATACAAAATAAAAATACATACATTTTTATAGATTTCTGTAGTACGCATTTAGTTTCGACCTACGTAGGTGTACCCTTCTACTACTGTTCCATTCAATTCAAACTCTGCTTCACATCAAGCATTGAGGTTTGCTGTAGAGCTATATTTTTGTTGGTACGCCTACTCCGTATACATTATTTATAATTGGGCTTGCTTAAAGATAGTCACACTTGTTGCTAGCCACCGAAGGTGCCAATAAAGAATCACGTTTTTCTTGGTGTACGAGAGGTAAATGTAAATTTTTGTTCACTTAAAATACAAGTGTTATATGACGAAAATGAGAATCTTATTTTTAGCATGCACACAATTGTCTTTTATAAGCAGGGTTGCCCAAAGAGGTGCGTCTAGCTGAAAAGTCAACTAAAACAAGCTGAGTTGTGATTTTAACACATTATATTTATCTAAAATATGTACATTGATACAAATTTAAAAAAAAATTAGAGTTCCCGATTTCCACTGTATTTCTCGAAAAGAAAAGCTGAATTGGTATCAATGCGTTTTAGTTTGTTAAGTCTACGTCCATTTTACATCATTATGTGACTTGATATTTAAAAGTGTAATTATCTATGCTCTTAATAAGCGCTAAGAGCTGTACTTCTAATTATCCAGTTGTCCCTGAACGGGCGAGTCCTGTCGTCCCGCTTTGAAATTTGAGCATTCCAAATGAGAACGAGGGAGAGAGAGAGAGATAGAGAGAGGGAGAGATAGAGATATGGAGGAAAAATGAATGGAAAAAAAATGATCTAACTACTTCAAAGATAAAAGTAAAGCCAAAAATAATATATAGTGAAAAAGAAAATACAAAAAAAAAACAACAAATATACACGTAAAATACGTTAAAGGGAAGCCCGTCATTCATTCATTGATAAAGTCATGCGAGAATGTCACAGCCAATATGGAAGACGAAGACAGCGGCTCCCCGAAAGAGGCCTAAGCAGCTTTGCAGTCAGTTGAGTTCGGTTCGCGTGAAAGAGCAGATCATGAGTGCTCGAATTGCTGGCAGACATTCCCTCTACAAGTGGTTCGCTCTGTACTTGATCCTAGTTATCATAGCGGTAAAATTTCTATCGAATCGTAATGCTGACGACGATCAAATATCACGTCGTAGCCCCAATGTAACAAATAAACGAATTATTAACGCAATTACAACGCCATCAATCCCATACTCGGTGCCCCACGTGGAAATGCCAAAATATTTTGTCCATACGTCCCAGTGCATGATACCCTATGTAGATCCCTTCTCGGCGGAGGCTATGAAAATCTATAAGCCGCCCAAATTTATACCATGCTCGAATGAAAGTGATCTAGTTTCCGCGAAATTCGATGAGAAACTCGAGAGATATGTGCTACATATTAATAAGGATGTCGCTCGCCAGCTCCTCAATTCAAGTGACATGGAGTTCAATTGTTTCTATCGGGTGATAAAACTGGGCGCAAATGTGGAAACCTACGACATGTAAATTTCTGATATTTCGAACTTTCAATTCGTCTGATTATTCGTTGTTGTTTGTTCTCTTAGCCTCAGTTCGAGCATATATTTCTCTCAGGGTTATGTTGTGCCACTGCATGTGGAGGGCATGATTCTGGACTGTGAGACAGCCGAGGCGACGCCCGTCAAATTGCAAAAGGATGCTTTCATATTCGTTCAATACAACAAGCCCAAACTACGGACGAGTAAGTCAAAGCAAAAGCAGAGTCCGCGTAAGCCGAGTGTTATCATGTACGGCATCGATACGATCTCTCGGATTAATCTGCGGCGCACTATGCCGCTGGTATATCAATTTCTAAAGGGGCCCGGCTGGTACGAAATGAAGGGCTACAACAAGGTTGTATTATCAGTCTATATGTCCTCGTGAGTCTTCGCCGGCTGAACGTCGTTCATCATTTTCAGGTCGCTGACAATTCATTTCCCAATCTTTTGGCCATCTTGAGTGGCTATTCGCCTGAGAAGGCCAAAGAGCACGTTTGCGATACGGACGTGAAGGGCTGCCTGGACAAGCTGCCCATGATCTGGAATTACTTCCATAATGCCAGCTATTTGACGGCCTATGCGGAGGATGAGAGTGGATCGAACACGTTCACGTATCTGAAGCCGGGCTTTACCAAAAAACCAACCGATTATTATTTTCGTCCATTTCTGCGCGCTCTTGAAGTAGAATTGCCCTCCTATAATTGTCCCGGCTGTTATATGACCTATTGCTATGGCCGTCGCTTGGCCAACTATTATATTTACGACTATGGCAGACAGTTCATGCAACGTTTTGTGGCAGAGCGACCCATTTGGGGTATGTTCTGGTCGAATCACTTCAGTCACGACGATTGCTTTATGCCTGCGGCCATGGAGCCCAAGGTCCTAGGCGATCTGTTGGGCTATCGCAGCGATGGATCGC